AGACTCTTTGTACTTTGACACTCGCTCATTAGATCATATCATTCGTTTTTATTCATGTTTGTATCTTATCATTTATCTCATGCATTTTACCCCCAACATTCTTTCGCTTTTCACACGTTTTTACTTTACATCTGTATATAAGCCTTACCCGGAATATTTTTCTTATCCCTGATGATGCCGCAGATCGGCAAAAGCTTGGATTTTTTAAAAAAATTTAATATCATTTTACAGTAGTGTACGGCCTCGATTGAACTTTTACCACTTTCATTTTCTGTTTATGTTGTGTGACCTTCTGTTTTGAGTTTGAAAAATCTCAAACTACACAAAACAAAACCAGTGAAAAACATTTTTATACAGGAAAAGTTTATACTTCGGTTAACATTTAATCCTGGGTTAGCGTTAACCGGCTTCCGAACAACCCAGCCCTTATTACAAGTTGAGCCCGCGATCCAATCGAAAACCAGCGCTTGGTGAGCGGTCAACACGTGACCTCTATGAGCTCTAAACTTGAGCCCGCGATATGGTCACGTGAGACTGGTTAGTGGATACATTGTTTCGACAGGTGTCAATTGACCATAACAGGGATGTCCAAAATCAAAGACGTACGCTGTAAACGAAGGCTGCATGTCTCTGTCAACCTATTAGCTGGAGAATGGCCGCCATCTTGCGCGACTCCGCCGTCGTCGTCGTCGTCGCTGTCGTGCGCACGCGCCCACGAGCAAAACTGCTAGCCATGATAGCCATGAGAAAATCAATTCATGGGTTTCCTTTTCTCTCCTATATGAGTATGGGGTTCCATTTGGCAGAGCTCCGCTATAATTACCTAGAAGACAATAATACTATGCAATTTCTCTTATTTACCTGGAGTTTAAGTAGGCTGATTCCCTAGCCAATTTTTTTAGGTCCTGGTTATAGTTCTCACGAAGGGTGTTATAGCTGCAAAAAATAATCACGTTGTTAAACTAAACATCAACTAATTTCGATGAAGGAAAACAACAATTGTTGAGTTGTGCGTACAATTTCATGGGTGCAGTTGAAATTCAAGTTTTGATTTCCAAGATAAAACATTGTGGGTAATATTATAACGTAATCGTAGTCCCTGAACCGTGCACACGCGCAAATTTCTGTGAAACTAACAAATGTCGCCATTTTTCAAACTGACCTGCAGCCACTGCACATTAATAGCCGAAAGTGTGTGATGGCTCACTTAATCAGATTATAAACTGATTTGCATTAGTATTCCAGTAGGTTTTACATGTAGTTACTGGTTCTACATGTATTACTATTAACTGATATCGAAATAAACCGAAGGAAAGACGAGGCGGCGCAAAAGGCGTGCTCCTGTTACGGCTCTCACGCAATTTGACTAGTTTGGGTTGGATAAAGTTACAAGTAAGAAGTAGAAAACTTGTTCGCCGTGTTCTTATCGAATTATAGAAACACGAGTGGAGGTTTGGAAGAACGAGTGTCGAGTGAAATTAGGGATAACTATGTCTATAATCTCACTTGGAATACCAATGCAAATCAGTAACTAATCGAAGTACAGTAATTTTGGCGCGAAATGTCAGCGTTAAATTACCGCTGACATTTCGCGCCAAAATTAAGGAGTCATTTGTCATCCATGATACTAAATGGAAAATAATAGATAATACAAGGAAAAATCAGTCCGGGTAGACAAATAAAAGGAGATATATATCTGACCGGATTCGCAAAAACATAGCCATAGAATTTTACTTGTCGCTGATAACCTTGATACAATTCTGTCCTAGAGCTAGCTTTCCACGAGGCTTATCGAAGCTCAAATAACAGCAAATAACTCTTCTGTATGCCTTCTGAGGGCAGGAAGACTAAATTCACCGTCTTTTTGTTGAATCATGAATTGTACAATTTAATTAAGAGTGCTTTCAATATGAAATTGGAGTCTAAATCAACACGAACGTATAGATATCAAAACCGCGGCGGAGAGCTAATCTATCGCTTTCTCAAGGCCTGCATCGTCCTACTGCTATATGGACTGAACAAGAGCTTCCTACATCGATAATCGATTGAACCTCAAATAAACTAGGCCATAGTTAGCAGTAAGCGAACACTCAACATGTTGTCGTTACGTCAATTATCGCCCGGAAGCCACGCAACTAAATTTCTTCCGCGCTAGCGAATCACAGACAGTTCTGATAGTTAGCTAAGCCGAGAACGCC